TAAGAAACGTTATGAGACTGAGTATTGCCGCTAATGTGAGCACTCCTCTCTCAGGGCACATCTTGCAACGTGGAATTTAACTAGAATATCCAGTGGTTGGAGATTCAGGAGTGTATTCAAGGCTGACAGAGGAGGTCATTGACTTAACCCTCTCAAATCTAGACGACTCCGTCATCAGAAATTGGAGGGTATCTGATGAATGTTCCTTCTCGGATCATTTAAAGATTCTCTTCGAGTACTCTTTTGACGGAGATAAACAACAGCCTTATCGAAATCCAAGGAGAACAGACTGGGAAAATTCACATAGCTAACGAACTCCCAGCTGACTCTTAACACAAACTTAGGAACAGCTGTGGAACTCAACGGGGTCGTGAAAAATCTAACGGATGTTCTCCTTGGTTGCCATAAGGAATCCTGTCCGCTCACACATCCTGGGAAGAAATCTCGGCCAGTGTGGTGGAACAAGGAACAGGGCGCATAAGTCTAAACTCGACACTGATTGGAACTCCTATAGAGTTAGTTTCAATAAATACAAGAGTGAAACAAAACGCGCGAAGAAAAAGTCATGGGTAAATTTCTGTGAGTCGATAGAAGGAGTCAACGACGCTGCTAGGTTTCGAAACCTAATATCCAAGGACCCGAAGTCCATCGGTAGTATTAAGAAGCAGGATGGAGCGTTGACGGACTCAGGTTCTGAGACTCTAAATCTCCTAGCCGAGACTCATTTTCCGGGTTGCAAAGACATGGGTACCATCGACGGTGAACGTGATCGGCCTTTTGCCACTCCGGATCTGGATCTCATTAGCAAGGTGGTTAACAGAAATAAGATACGATGGGCGGTCAACACATTCAAGCCGTATAAATCGCCAGGACCGGATGGTATTCTACCGACGATGCTTCAATATGCCTCGCCAAGTATTTATCTGATCCATGAGAAGATTTATACTGCGTGTCTGACTCTCTCGTATGTTCCGGATCTATGGAACGAGGTAAAGGTTACTTATATTCCCAAAGTAGGGAATCCAAGCCACTCTGCACCAGAAGACTATAGACTCATTAGCCTATCATCCTTTCTCCTCAAGACTCTCGAAAGACTGATCGACCTGGAGATAAGGAGTCGTATAGACACCACCTCTCTTAGCAACTCACAACACGCATACATAAAGGGCAAGTCTGTGGAATCTGCACTGCACGAGGTGGTAGGCTATATTGAGAGGAACATGGAAAATTCAAATTTTACGCTGGCCTCCTTCTTAGATATAGAGGGAGCCTTTAACAACGTTAAACTTGAATCCATAAACCACTCACTTAGGGAAGTTGGCATTCCTGATACCCTGACATATTGTATAGATAAAATGCTTAACAGCAGAATTATAAATTCAAGTGTGGGGGACACAAAAATCAGGAAAACGGTAACTAGAGGCACACCTCAAGGAGGGGTGCTTTCGCCGTTACTATCGCTACTGGTAATTAATATCATATTGAGGGAATTGGACGGGAAAGGTATCAAAGTTGTAGCTTACGCGGACGACGTGGTGATATTGATCTCCGGGAAATTTCCGTCTACAATCTCTGAGCTTATGCAAAGAGCCTTACTGACGCTGTCACGCTGGGCCAGGGCAAATGGTCTTGGTGTAAATCCAACGAAGACGGAACTGGTAATGTTTACTAGGAAGCGTAAGCTCGGCGTTTTTGCTCCACCAACATTGGATGGAGTGCAACTTCACCTATCTCCCGAAGCAAAGTACCTCGGCACAATCCTGGACTGTCAACTACGATGGAAAAGGAACGTTGAGGAGCGGGCGAAGAGAGGAATGATTGCACTCTATGATGCAAGAACTCCATTGGGAAAAGCTGGGGGCTAAAACCATCGACTATACACTGGCTGTATAACTCGGTGGTGAAGCCCATCTTGTCCTATGGCTCTCTTGTTTGGTGGAACTGTCTGAGAAATTAGACAAGGTACAAAGAACCGCCGCGATTTTAGTTACAGGAGCCAGAAGAAGTACGCCACAAGCAGCTTTGAACGCAATGCTGTATTTCAAGCCTCTGGGCCTCAGTATTAAGTGTCAGGCTGCGCGTAGCGCCCTAAGGCTGCATGAACAAAAACTCTGGCGGAACTGTACCTTTGGGCATAGTAGTGTTCTGAATGAACCAGGTATAGCATTGGACCAACTCGTTAAACTAAGCGACTATATATCACCAATCCTTAGATTTGACGATGTAGATGTCGTTATTCCTAGTAGAGACGACTGGAAACGAAGTAACCCTCCTCTGGACGGTCTGGCCTTCTATACAGACGGATCCAAGATGGAAGAAGGTACTGGGGCAGGCGTCTACTGTGAAAGGTTAGGCCTTGAGTTAACCTACAAGCTGGATAGCAACTGTAGTGTTTTCCAAGCTGAAATCTTCCCGATCTGGAAGGCAGCGGAATTGATAAAAAGTCTGGATGCTGAGGCCGCTAAACCGGTGACTATCTATGTGAATAGTCAACGGCTCTTAAATCCATCAAATCTTGTCACATCAAATCCGAAGCCGTCCTCAAGTGTGGAGCAGATCTGGAAGAACTTAACCATAGCTATCGGTTGTGTTGGGTACCAGGACATTGTGACATCTTGGGTAATGAAAGAGCGGACGAACTAGCTAGACGAGGATCTCAATTCACCGATCTAGAAACTGATGACTCAATCAAACCACCCATATGTCTTTTCTATGGGAATTGTGTTGCAGTCACACATGTGACTGCACATCCCCAAACCTAACCTAAGGCTGACAGTGGTGTGCTTATTAGGGCTCCACCGATTAGCAGGACTACATCATCGACTACAAACCTTTCTCCTAAGGTGATCGAATTTCAGAAGTGTCGCATTTATCACCATAGCCATAGTAGAGAAGATAGTACTCCTCCCTGTGGTGTGCCTCTATTGACAGATTTCATTACAAAACTCTCTCCAATAGACGAATTGATTATTCTGCTTTCCAACATTCTTTCAATCCAATCCGTTCGGAGGGAGGGGATACCTGAACTATCGAGTGTAGAATGGATAGCTTCCAGATTCACATTGTTGAAGGCACCTTCAATGTCAAGGAACGCAGCCAATGTGTAACCGGAGGTATCCATATTCTTCTCGATATATCCGACCACTTCATGTAAGGCAGTGCCCACTGATTTGCCATTGATGTAGGCATTCTGGTCCTTAGGTAGAGTATCACTCGGCTTCCCAGCTGTCGGAATGAAAGTCACCGTTACCTCTTTCCATATTGTCCATACCAGGTTTGGGTAGCTTATAGTGTTCTCTATCAGCTTCTCTTCTTCCTTGGTTCGAACGTATGTCGAGGTGCAAATCGCACTTCGGCGTTATGGTCCCTACAACCAGAGAACTGGGTTGATGATAGAAGATCACGAGTCTCTCTGCCACAGTTAGTCCACGATCCGACGCTTCGCTTAATACTTCGCTTGTAAGGGTTATGTCAATGACTTCGCTTCTATTTACGAACGTTGCTGTATTGCGCCTATTTCCATATCCTAAGAATATATCTAAGTATAAAATCAAATATGCCTCACCTCTTGGATTGGTGTCACTGTTACCCCAGTGGAAGTGATGGGCATTGGCATCACATCCAATCACTAGATCACCAATGTTGTTCATAGCCTCCATAAGGTTTTGTACAAAAGGTACGGCTGGGTCAGGAGCCTCATACGGGAGTATACGGCACATGTCTGACTGTCGTCATCAAATCAATGTTAGCCATACGGCTGAGGGTATAAAAAGGAATACCAGAAATAGAATAGAAAAATCGGAAACTGCTTTACTCCTATTTCAATTTGGGTAATACACGCGATTACCTATTTCGCTTCAAGCCTTCAAGTGGTTAGCAAATATATTTTCACAACACTCCTGATATACAAACTCGGACAAGTGGTAAAATATAAGTATTTTTACTTGTTTCATCAACCAACGCCCTTCTGTATAACATGTTAGTAGGTAAGGGAAGTAAAAATATGAATACGTCGTTTTTAATTCCAACGTACAAACTAACCCTTACCCACAATCTTATAGTAGCGGTTAACAATGTTATGAGTAATACATATACGACTTTCGAACAAATGAATGTAAGTGTTTTAGAAAACATTAAACATCGAGATTCCGCAACGTATTGTACGTTCACGGAAATTTTTATTTATATACCCGGTAAGAGTTAATGTTTTGAATAGATATGAGGGAAACTGGTACTTAACATAAAATATGTCCATACTATGTGAACAGCGTCTGTGATTCCTGCGATGTGGTAAATGAAAAAAAAAAAACTATATTTATGGTTCGGTTTTTCTTGAAAGATCAAGTGCTTGGGTATATTATTATTAACCATTGTACGATAACCTGCATGGATTTCGGAGCTGCATCCCTCCTTCACATAGCATCGTTTCTTCAATTGTTCTTCCTCAAACTGTAAACTAATTTCCTTATATTAATGCAGAAGGAAGCAGTATGATTGTTGTAAGAAAGTGTTCAGAGGTCTATGAAACCACGTGAAACCTATGAAACCACGTTTTCTCTACATTTACCGTTATAAAATTATTTTTCGAAGTGACCCAGAAAAACAAAAGGTATTTTCGTGGTCCAGGGACTCCAACTAAACAGAATTGGTACATTGGAACCCCTAAATAATTTTCCTGTCGCACAGCATTTATACTCTTTGTGAAGTTGTAGAAAACACATAAATGATTTGGAAAGCGGTGCAATTTGTTTACTTAACATTTATTTTATATATATTTATATAATAAAAAGACATAACAATTATGATTAAAATATACAAAATATATCCAATGGTTAATAATTGAAAAGAATATACATAACTTAATTGGTTATCTTAAAATTATGCAACACTATGACATTCATACGATGCGGTATTATATATACTCAAAAGGAATGAACAGCGTACATCATCATTTGAACATCATGTGGCTCAATGTAGTATATGATGACCAATTCGCTGGTTTATTGCAAATTCCCATTTACACCTTGCAACACATCGAAACATATTCCGCAAACTCTCACTGGTTTATTTACGCCAAACTTTAAAATGGGGACATCATTATTCGAACATTTTGAGCACACAACTCGTCCACAGTGTCGACTTGAAAAGACAAATACATATATAAAAATGTTAACCAAATTTTCAAAATCAAATCAAATCTTTTAAATAAAATGCGTTTGAATCGATAAAATATTTTTTATCGATTCATACATACTATAGGTTTATCTGCGTACTTTTCACAAATTCAAAATAGCTTTCGCAATTCACATTGCTTCACTTAAGTTTTGTGTAAAAAGACAACATATAGTAACTTTTTGTACAAAATATCGAGTACGCAGATCGACTTTATGTTAAAAATATAGAGTTCACTTCAATTCAATTCACAATATTTTATTGGACTTTTGTGTTAAAGACAACATTTAGAAACATTAATACAAAATAGGCAGTACATAGACTGTCTTATAAATAAAGTATTTAAAATGTTTATATTTCTGGACTACATAATATTTACGCAAGCTACATTTTCTCACTGTTAAGTCGTTCAAGTTGTGCTTTTAGGTAAGATTCGAAATATTTGTCAATCTGATTGTATGTTTCTAAGATTTTAAACATGACGAAAAAAAGTGGTACTGTTACATGGACGTTGTACTAATAGTTGACCTGCACTTACAATTTCTGAGGGTAAATTAGTTAGTCACTAAGTTAGAAAATAAAATCAATAGGACAAGACCTTCCATACACCTAAAGTTGGACGATATAGTTATATAAGTATAGTTTAGCTACAACAAATAATTCTATTGTGGTGGAACAAAATTATTACCGAACTAATATCTCATATAAACATGTAAAATGCGTAAGTCACATGAAAACATTCGAAGCTGTTTACTTTCTCATCGTGAAATGGTGAACAGTTGCCCTAATTTGAAATTAATGAATGACTCATTTATAGCCTGTCCCTGTAAAATTCGAAATGAACCAATTCCGTCGTTTCATATTCCACGAGCTAGAATATTGAACAAAACTAAAACAAAAATTACGTGTTTAGAGTACAACATAACTTCTCAGTCACTGTCCAAATTTTTCTAGGATGCGTAAACTATTCATGTCGATTTCTAATGTATACGTAATATGTTATTAATTGGTACCTCTATCCAATAATTCAATAATATTACTTACCAATGGTGTTTTCGCATTGTGAGTGAAAATTTAGAATTGCATTCTTGGCATAAATCGGATTCGGACCAAGGCGATTCCTGTGGTAATTGATCTAGAAGTCTGTGTAATAGTTGGTCTGTTGCCAGTTTAAAGTTGAATATGCTGATACCATCACGATTCTCAGTTCCAAGACAAGCTCCATTTTTAACAAGTACTTTACAAAGAGGTGCTTGACCACGCATAAATGCCAGCAGTAATGGTGTATTACCATCCATGTCCGGTGCATTAATGGGATATTTCGGCATACATTCTATGAAAAGGTCACAGATAGCTGCAGCATTATTATCTTCTCCGGTTCGGCAAAGTTCGTGAAGGGGATTGCGACCCTTATTGTTTATAGCTTCAGCATTAATGCTGGATTCCGTTAAGAGCTCTCGAACAATATTCAAGTGACCACAACGAACTGCTATGTGCAAGGCGTTGTTGCCCTCTCCATCGACTGCGTCGTAATCTGCCCCATTTTGTATAAGTGCAGAAACAGCCGCGAGATTGCAACGTTCGGCCGCAATATGCAATGGTGTCTTCTGCATAGCATCTCTTTCATTTATACGTGCTTCTGCCAGAATCAAATTTCTGGTTATCATTTCATTGCGAGATGCCGCAGCTAAATGCAAAGGTGTAGACTGATTCGCATCATGAACTCTGGAGTTAACGTCCACCTGTATGGCAAGCAAAAACAGAACACTTTCAAGGTCATCCTTCATAATAGCCAAATGCAAAAAGTTTCGTCCCCTTGAATCCATTTGTTCGGCAGCGTTTGGCAAACGATCTAAAATTCGTTGTGCTGCTCGGTGGTTTCGTTTTGTTAAAGCCGTTGCAAACGGAGTGTTGCCATGTTTGTCACGGATTTTCAAATCGATTCCCGGATGACAAAGTAGAATTGATATTATTTCTTCGTGCTGGTTTTCAATGGCAACGTGTAGTGGTGTTTTATTTTCTGCGTCCAAGGCATTCACATTTGCACCGTGGTCGATTAGGTTTTGAAGAACCTTAACAAGACCCCATTGCGCACATAAATGTAAAGGTGATGCTTTGTCCGTCGCTTCCTCTCCACCTTCACCTTTTGGACCCGGTTGTCTAGGCGAGTCAAGATCGCATTGACTACGTATGAGAAATATTGCAACCGACTCTTTATTTTCATCGATGGCTCGATGTAACAAAGTTTGCTGACATCCATCTGGACCAGGACCCCAACAATCAGTATCGACTCCATGTCGTACCAACACTTGAGCGACGTCATCGTATTCCAGTTCTAGAGCCGTCCACAATGGCGGATCCCCTTTATTGTTTGGAGCGCTAAGAGCAACGCCTCGCGTACACAATGCATCGACAACCTGAGGCATATGACAGTGTATGGCCAATTGTAGTGGAGATTCTTGCTCACCGGTCAACGCGTTCATATCCGCCCCTTGCTGTAATAGAAACACTGCAATATCCGAGTCATGATTGAGAATAGCCTGATGCAGTAACGTCATATCTTGGCCATTGCGGGCATTTACATCCGCACCACCTTTAATCAAAATTGGTACCAATTCGGTGCGGTTTAAGAGTAGGCTCAAACTTAGTGGAGAATCTCCGTTTGCATTTTTTATATTAAAATTAGGAATTTCACATGCTTTATTATCTCCACTTTCCCTACATTTCAATGAAAAGTCAACGAAAGCTTCTATAACGTCAGTAGAACTATGTTCGACCGCAACATGTAATGGAGATTTCAGGTCAGGCACGCTTGATTGAATATTTGGTGATGCCCCAGCATCAAGTAATTTCTCAGTTAATTTTCTTAAGTTTCTTTCGGCTGCTATATGCAAAGTAGTTAAGCCCAGACGATTGATGTGGTTTAGATTAGCATGGTCTACAAGGAAAACTGCCGAATCTTCTAAGCCTTTACTGGCTAAAACTTGCAGTAAACTGTCATGACTTTCCGATTTCAAAGGATTTGCCCGAGCACCAAGATCAATTAGTTTTCTTGCTAGCTCTAAGCTCCTTTCAGTTCCATTCAGTAGACTTAATTCCAAACAACATTTTTCCTCTAAAGTACGCAAATTAATGTCAATATTATTCACACCCAGGAGCAGATTTTGCATTTCGACATTTCCTGATTCTATAGCTAAATGCAATGGAGTCTGCCCAATACGATTCTGTATATTTACGTCTGGTTTCAAACTAAGAATTTTTTCCCCCACTCTAACCATGTTGGAATATACCTCTGAATCTGTGTTATTCGGATTGTAAGCACAAACAATATGTAAAGCTGTATCAGCATTCGATCTGAAATTACAATGTTTTTTTTATGGAAAGAAGTAATCTAATTTATTGGACATATATTTTTTTAATTACCTGGAAGTTAGGTTTAAATCACAGTTTCGTTCCAACAGGAACTCAGCTGAGAATATATCGCCTCTTTTAACCGCATCAATAAGTATTGTTGAACCCTAGAATTTAATGCGAAACATATTCGAATGAATGTCACTGTAATATGATTATAAATTTACCTCAGCGTCGTACGCGTTTATATTCGCTGCTCCATTTTTCACGAGGGTCTGGGCTATCGGCAAACTCTTTCGCATTAGAGCCATTTGCAATGGCAAATAACCTTGTTCTCCCAAACTATTGACTAGTTCTGTTAACTAAAAGTAAAGAAAGAGTTTAAATTATTATTGGATTTCTACCCTATGAAAATAATAAAAAAAATATGCAGAAATATCTGTATCTGTATCTAATTTTTAAATTCAGATTTCCGAACACAAACATTAAAAAACGAAGAATGTTTTATCTTTCCTATAATATAATCAGAAATTCAATTAAATTCAATTTACATTGTAATAGCATACACTTAATTAATATTATATGGATTTTAATTTCATGTGGCAGTACTTGGGCCCGAAAAAACATAAATATGTAAGATTTTTTATGATTCACAACAATGCACCGATATATAACAAAATATTTGGGATATACGCTTTTTAAACACTAGAAATATTTTGGCCTTACTGCACCGGAGCATAACCATGCATGTACACTAAAACGCTAGGTACGAGTATAATAATTTTTTAATGCACTGTAGATGCAGTTTTAATTGTCATATTGAAACCTTTGTTAATTTAAACCTAATTTAAAAAAATATAGCTGAAATAGTATTAATATTCCAGAATATATCATATATGTATGTGACTTCACAAAATATAAACAGAATTAAAACATGTGCTTACTTCAGCTGGTTTTATTGGTTTTTAACATTTTATTTTCGTGGGGTTGTAATCTTGATCTTATTTGAATTTCAATAATTTTAAAGGGTAAGATTTATATTTGAGTACGGCTATGCAGAACATTTGGAATTTAGTTATGCCGCATTAAAAGTCACACATAAAAAATGTATCGACAACTAACAGAATGTCGTGAACATTACTCATACAATTTAAATATATTATTAATCATTGTAGTCTTAATCAAGACTTTAAACACAAATCAAAATGTCAATGTGGTTTATGTATTCTACCGAAAATATAAAATATGAAACACTGTTATGTATTTTTAATTTATTTAGTTTATTCTTTGTTTGGGTTTTTATTTTTTTTATATATAAGTTAATATAAGTTATTGCTTATGAAATAAATGAAATGAAATGGGTTTTTATTTTTTTTATATATAAGTTAATATAAGTTAAAATTCCTATTTCGTATTTTATTAAGCGCACGAAGATAAATATAGACCCGATAAGGGTAATTTTAACATGCGTCACTCATGCGTTACTCATATAATTATTATGTTGGTTTTGAGAATTGGAATTGCAGGCGTATCAGCATTAATTAAACGAATATTTTCTCTCAAGAACGCAACATCTCCACCGAAAAATGTATTCATGGTTTATACAAAGAGAACATCGGATCATACAAATCATTGCATTGATTAATCTCGTAATTGGTAAGTTTGTTTAAGGTTTGCCTAGGTTCACCACACGTTGATAATTTTTATTTTTCAAACAGATCAATCGATTGCTATTCAATGTTTTAGCTGTTCGGTTACGAGTAGTATCACTTATATCAACAATCAGAAGAAGATTTTACCTCCCTGCTCTCATTTCAATGGTTCTTCTCAGTTCATTGTGGATTGTCCCTTTTCTACAATGTGTATGAAAATGGTCCACACTATGTACCTGAATAATGGTGAGGAACTACAGACATTTACGCTACAATGCGCGCCACAAAGACAAAGCCGTCATGTAAGTTGTTTTGTAACGTATTTCGCTAAGCTTTATATCTATTTAAAATACAATTGTTATACATTTTTATAGGTCCTAAGAAATGGATTTTGGGAGGAAGAGTTTGTCGTTAAGGAAGTATACCCCCAAGGCTGTGTTTTAGACAAAAACAACCTGAATTGTTATTGCCGAGAAAACTTATGCAATTCTGCTAAAAGTAGCCTTTTAAAATCAGAAATAGTATACCCAATAAGTTTAGTTGTAGTTGTATTTTTTCTACGAACATTATTTTCAAGAAAAATATAATAATGTTTAATAAATATAATGACTTTGGAAAACAGTAGTGCGATTCTCTAATAGGCCCCACATACTATACATCATGTTGTCATGCCGATTAACCCCTTTGTGTATGTGTGAGATTGACTAGTGTGTTTCAAGGTAGATGTATTAGGTAGTCGCATCGACCCAGTTGATTGTAATTCAGTGTTACAAAACAAATTGTATCGTGATTTTTTTCCAAGTTTACTGCGAGAGCAACATTAAAATACCTAAAAATGGACAGATATTTTATATGAGGGCTACATAAAAACTGAAATGATTTTCTTGAAAGGTATTTTTAATACTACAAGAGCCCACAATATCATGTTACAGCCCAAGTTACAAGAAAGGAGACTGGACGGAAAGCGCTGTGACAAATGGAATAGACACTCCACTTTATGGTGGAGGGAGTAAAACATTGTGAAATATGGAACGTCGCCACCATTTTCATACCTCTACGAGTGAACCAAGCAGTATAGTCGGGCGTTCAATATAACACCCTTAACAACTACCATTGCACATAAATTTTCAATTTATGCATGCTTGTTACCCAGATCCATTTCTCATATACAATTTGGTGGACACTCATGACTAGAACGATTCTACTAGTTGATATATGATAAACAATAAACAAAAAGATTAGTCTAGGATCAACATCAAAAGGCCATGGTTGTCAAATTAGTTTACGTTTATGCATGGAGTTAAACGGCATTTACATTAGAACTTTTTACTGGGTTATCCTACTCAAGGCCAATATAAGATCGGACAGTCAATTCAATATAAATTAAATATCGTTTTTTTGCAGCACATTTGGACAATTTTAAAATTTTAAAGAAAATTTTGAAGTAAATTATCTTACAAAATTATAAATTGTGTTGAGTTATTTATTTAAGGCGAAACAATTACTTTTCGCCTTGGCAAAAAAAAGGCTATATGCGTTTTTGATCGCTTTATTGTGAACCATAACTTAATGGGTCCATTTTATTTGCCAACATACCAATTGAATTAAAGGTCCGGCTATAGTTATGATACGCAGTGTATAGGCCTTGAACCTACTCTATGAGAATTTATATGACTTGTATACAATGGAGTTGACAATTGAAATCCACTGAGTTAACGAAATCCGGTATTATGTATACGTACTATCAAGGTTTATTCATAAGGTTAACAGGGTGGCGAATTCGAAGTCTTCATCTACTGTCAAACATATTGTTTGAAAAATAAATAAACAAAAAATATTTTTATTGGAACCAAATATTCGTGAACAATACTACTATCATTTCATTATTTGAAAGATATTTTGAATTTTTATCCTATTCTGGTTGGTATTTCGCGATTAAAAAGTTGACAGCAAGAGAAGACTAAAGCATGAATTCGACTGCTGGTTAGCATTATGAATAAACCTTGGGTACTATTATTATTTAGACACATAAGGGGCAACATAACAACGTTACCTAAATTTCAACGAGGCGTACAAAAATATTCAACTTCCCTACTATGGCGAAATGTTTTGTACAGCCCAAGGTCGATATATAAGGTAGCCGCATCGGAGAATTGGGAACATGATATTGTTAACAAGGCGACGTAAAAAAACTCGAAGCAAATTAACTTCCAGCAATCAGAATTAAGCGTTTTGAAAAATGAAAATTATTTGTTTATTTTTTGAATATTTTAAAAATTATAAATGTTGTGTAAATATTTGATTTTTGTATAAAAATAACATCAGAAGAACGCCTTAAATGCTAGAATGTTAGTGCCATAGGGTGTATAAAGAGATAACAAGATTTTGACCATTTTTCCGCAGTGTTTTTATGCCCTCACATGAAATTTGAAAAACAATAACATACAGAGAAATCTATTTTGACCCCAAAGTCTTGTTTTCGATTACATGGTCTTCTTATAAAAGTCTCATCTCGCAAAAGTCTCAACCGCTATGCCATTCTTTTTTATCCCTTGTTTTTCGTTATTTTTAATGTAGTTCAATTGTTATTTGGAAATGGATTTGAAAAAAGAAACAACTAATTGTTATGACATATAATGTCACCATCAGCTGGTTTGATACGATTGCCTTCTTAATATACCTTGGTACGGCCGTATTACCCAAATATGAGTCCATATCTCTTAGCGAGCTAAACAAAATCGAGAAATAATCTTGAAAAATTGAAAAATATGGGAAAAAATATTGACATTTGTTTGAAATATTTTTCGGGATTGCATCTTTATGAAATTGATACAGGACATGAAAGAAGAATATCAGCTAAGATGTTAACAAAATATCTCCCATTTTGAAAAAATGTTGAAATTTACATTTGCTATTTCAATTTTCATAAACGTAAACAAAGTTGACAACAATTAATTTATTTTCGACAGCATTGCCAAATTCAGTATAAATTGTTTGTTGTTGTTGTAGCAGCCCTATTGATTTTACACTGAGGGCTGAGGTGAGGTGACTGACGAAGACCTCTCTCTCGTGGAAACGCGCAACCAATCCTTGACATGTTTTGGTGTATGTTTGGAGGTTATTGTCAAACTAAAATACTCAAACAAGTGGTATATTTTCTTCAGCGAAGGGAACTATAGCATTATCCAACACTATCTAAAGTTGGCAATTTGTTGCCAACTTTAGATAATAATTGTAATTTTTTCATAAAGTAAATCACATAAAATAATCAGCGTATGGATGGGAAAGTGTTTTAATAAAAGTATATCGTCAGCTAAAATACAAAAAGGCGTAACTAACAAGAAATTGAAAATTGACTTTTTGAATGAATATTGTGAATGTCAATAAACTACATGTGTTGACAAAGTTTTACACGTCTGCGGTCAAAAAAGGAGTTTCTATTAACAAAAAGACGTAACTACAAGTGGGTTTATTTGATAAATGCAAAAAGGCGTAACTAACAAAAAATTCAAATTTTAACTTAATTGTTATGACTGCCATTAAACTAAATAACTAAATTTGTTAAAAAAAAGTTATAGTCTATTATTCGTCATATGCAATATCACCCTGCCGGGCATACTTTTTCATTTCACATGACATGTTTATAGTTTTCATTCAAAACAGTTTTTTGCTTCTCCTACACAATTATGCTTTTGTTAGTTACGCCTTTTTGCATTTTAGCTAACGATATTAAAGAATATAATAAAATATCGGTCAAATATATCATTTTTCTTTAATTAAAATGCGACATGCCGACTGACGATTGGTAACTAATGGCAACTATTGACAAAAAATCACTATTTTATTAAATTGTTAAATTAGTCAACTTTTACACAAAATAATTAACAACTTTTTTGTTGTATCGAGAAGTAAACATATTTCGAAACAGGTTCATCTGTTTCGAAATATGTTTGCTTCTCGCAATGAAATGGAAAAGCGTGGTTTTATATTTGCCGGAATCGGGATCGGCGTTGAGAGTTTCTCTCTCTCAGTGGTAAATTGTGAATTGGGTTGGAAAACATTACCACAGGTAGGAACAAAAAAGTACGATAAGGTACCTAAAATTCTACTTGAAATGATAATAAATCATAATTATCGAGAAGTATTGGCCAATATTTATACCAGTTATTTGCATAAATAATATATGTTATAATTTAAGCGTAAATGTATTCACGAATAATAAAAAAATCTAACTTTTATTTTGGTACGTTTATATCAATTCGTACCTTTTGTGAACAAAAAGTACGCTTGTTACAAGATTAAAAATAGCGCAACTCTAATTACTCTCTCAAGAGAGAGAAACTCTCAACACCGATCCCGATACCGACAAATATAAAACCACGCAAAGTGCACAGGAGAGAGTATCCTCTCTATTCTACGCTCTCTCCTAGAAATCACATTCAATTTCAATTTCTTTATTTTTCATTCGCTCAGTTCGTATGGCGGGGTTTTACATTTATCGGGATTGGTGTTGAGAGTTTCTCTCTCTTGAGAGAGTAATTAGAGTTGCGCAATTTTTAATTTTGTAACAAGCGTACTTTTTGTTCACAAAAGGTACGAATTGACATAAACGTACCAAAACAAAAATTAGATTTTTTATTATTCGTGAATAAATTAACGCTTAAATTATAACATATATTTTTTATGCAAATAACTGGTATAAATATTGGCCAATATTTTTCGATAATTATGATTTATTATCATTTGAAGTAGACTTTTAGGTACCTTTTCGTACTTTTTTGTTCCTACCTGTGGTAATGTTTTCCAACTCAATTCACAATTTACCACTGAGAGGGAAACTCTCAACACCGATCCCGATAAATGTAAAACCACGCATGCAGAGAGGACTTTCCAGTACTACGGTTGTCGATGTGATCTTAACTTTGTTTACGCTACATTGCTCACCGCGACTTCACTGCATTCTCGCTTTCGATCGAACACACAGTCATTAAGGTAAAGTTTTGTTTCTTGTGAAACTCATTAACTTTGCGAAAAAAGTTGAAAATATATTCTTTCACAAAATTGTTTTATGTTGTTTTTCTCTTTTTTGGTTTTTCTTCCCCTCATCGGTATCACGCCAACACATATATTTAGTTCATTTTCAAATACCTCATTATTAGTTAATAAATTTTATAAAATGATATTTTTGCCTGTTAGGGCAACAATCATTGATGGTTTTATTTGGTTTTCCTCTTTCGAGTTGAGTTAAATGATCAAATTTTTGTAATGAAAAGGAAAACCAGAGCGCTCAACTACAGTCGAAAGAGAAACCCCAAATAAGGTAAAATTTAACGTAAATAATGCAAACAAGAGTAATTGCTAATTCCCGAACAATTTACAATTAATCGAAGTCCCAATATATATATATATATATATATATATATAAATTGTAGATGTAAAATATATTTCCAACTACAAAGGACAATAATTAATTGGAATTTTAAATGTTTTCAATATGAATATTAACTTTACTTACGTTGCCGTCATTTTCTACGAGGCAGAGAAACACAACATCTTCTCTCAATAGACGTATAGCAGCATGAAGGGGGTATTTGGTCTTACTTTTTAGCATTTTAAACAACAAAGGTCCTGACATGTGTTCAAAATCTTGGGGAGTAAGATCCTCCCAATGTGTTGATATAAGCCCGGAACAGTAGTCAAGAAGACTGGCGGCACCAACTTCTTCTGCAACGCAATAAAATCGTACACAGGAACGAACTCCTACTGAAGCCACTAAGGCCCTTTCACACAATCCCAATAAACCTGGAAGACGAAAGCGATGAGATGCTTTTAACAGACCTAACGATAAACGGTCATGTTGTAGGTCAATAACATCTGTATAAATCCATCGCAATAGTGCCATAGCTATGTCCTCGTCCATATCACTCCAATCTAATTGCTCTACATCAGATAGGACATCTTCCCGCCATTCTTCGGACCTTGCGTGAAAAACGAATTTATGGGCCGGCATAACTTTTGTGCTCATTTGAATTGTCAAGTCGGAATATACGGTACGCCCGTATAGAGAAGCTACGGTTAGTGCCAACCGTGATACAAAGCTGCTAAATTCACCGACTGCATCGGAGTCGGAAGCAACAACTGCTTTACTGTATTTTCTTTCTAATTCCGCATACTCTTTTTGTAGTTTGGTGTATTCCTGTTTAAGTAGCGACAAGTGCTTTTCCAGTTTCTGCAATGTAGCTACATCCGGTGAACCTATTCAAAAATTAGAATTTTACAATGATTAGTACAACGCCCATAATAAAGTCCAGGTTTTGCAGAACTGCCAAACCAAAACAAACATGAATTTAATATCTTACTCATAATGCTTGTGGAGCCCTTTCGAATAACAAATAACTAAATTTAAATAAAAATTGTGTTTTTTACAGAACAAAAACAGATTTTTTTTTGTTAGCGGCTGAGAAATAATGTCGTTCGGAATAGGGATACGTACGTCGAATTTGGACTAATCGATTATTGGTAAAGTCTGAAAGTCGACTTTTAATCATGGCGGAAATTGCAAAGTTGACTTTTCATGGTCGACTTTTTTTACAATAAATAGGTACTCCCTCAAGCGGATAAACTAGCACTTTTGAATGGCCCGCTTGCCCGAATTTTTCTTGTTTGATAGTGTGGCCTCCCATGTTTGTCATTCATCAGGCAACCACATTCATGGTTGTTGGTCAGTCACTCAGAAGTGCTAGTGTGTACAACGCATCAAGCACAGCTGATTATCAGTTTAGCTCTCAAGATACATATGGTCTGTTCGCATAATGCAAGAAGAATTTTGGTCTGTTCCCGTACTGCAAGAATCTATTACTTTTTACCATAAATTTTGATATCATAAAGGAAAATGTGTCATCGTAGTAAAAAGCAGTAGATTCTTGCAGTACGGGAACAGACCTATACTTGTCAGTATAATTCGCCATTACATTTCCACTAAAAATTACCGTGTTTACTGTTTTCAAAATGGTAAGTATTTGGTCTGTTCCTGTACTGAAAGAATCTACTAATTTTTACTATTTTTACCGATATCATAAAGGAAAAATTGTTATCGTAGTAAAAAATTGTTCATTCTTGCTGGTTCTGGAACAGACCAATTATTTTGGACTATCAGCTCATTTATCGATTACTCACTGTGGTAATAAAAATTATATTCCATACAAACATTTCACGTTATTCCCTATAGTACGTTTACATTTAACCGGATTTCGTTAACCAAGTGGGTTTCAATTGTCAATTCCTTTGCATTTACGTCAAATAAATCCTCATAAAGTAGGTTAACCCGGTAAAAAGTTCTAATGTACAAGGAGTTCTACTCGATTATGGAATGAGTTAATTAGTCAATTTAATTTTTTAATATTTTTAGTTGTGGTGAAAAAATGTCAGATAAATACAACCACTTGTTTCGTATGTTTTTAATATTTGGCACAAGAAACCATTACATATATAGTTGTTTTTTTTTTGTCTTTTGATTTGAGAAAAATTTGTAATCAGTTAGTAGCTTTGCCCACCTTGTAATATTTATACCATGGACACACTAGAATTTCAGACATGCCATGTCGGCATCGTTTAATGTAAAAGAATAAAATATAATTGCGTCCTTATTATTCTTTTTGGTATAATGCAACTTATAGTACTTTACATTGTACGGAATTATTTAATTGTCAATTCCATTGCATAAATGCCAAATAAATCCTCATAATGGATTAATTCTTATAAATCGACTCGATTTATATTTATATCGAGGTACCAAATCCAAACTGTTTAGACAAGCAATAACATGATATAAAGTTGATTTGTCAGCTGTTATTTGTTTTGATAGGAATTGACTCCCATTAGGTCAAAAATAAACTCATCTGTTGTTTTAAAAATAGTAATAAAAATTTTCTAGTTGTATCAGCAGCCATATTTTTAATAAGGAAATATTTTGAATTATAACGTATTTCGTAGCATACTATATGGAGAAGGCATTTTTTTTTTTTTTTTGGTGTATTGTATTTAAAATGATTTTGAAAAGGATTTCGAACAAATCGAGATATTGAGTGGATTTAATTCTGTATGATAAATGGAGGTGAAATCCTCATATAGCATTTCCACATTAAATGAAACCTTTTACAAATTAAATGAACCCTTTTCCAAATTAAATGAACCCTTTTCCAAATTAAATGAAACCTTTTCCAAATTAAATGAAACCTTTTCCACTTGAAATGAAACCTTTTACAAATAGAATGAAACCTTTTACAAATAGAATGAAACCTTTTCCAATTGAAATGAAACCTTTTACAAATAGAATGAAACTTTTTCCAAATTAAATGAAACCTTTATTCTTATCTAAGGAAATATAATATTTGCACTAATTTTAAACCAATATTTGAAAATATTTCTTGACATTTTAATAAATAAATATTTAAGAACAAGAATTGAATACCCGGTCCTAAATGCGAAATACATATTTGACTTAATAAATTGTTGATGATAAGGTAACTGCTTATCTTAATGAAGGGGTTCCCGACTTGCAGCATGTGGGATTTTCAAAACCATGTCCATAACGTAGTTAGAACAATCTTGCCGAGTAAGCTTTTGAATACTTCGCTCGATTACATCAACAATGTTATGTTCCATTGAAACGTCACACAGCTCAGCTCTTGCACATAATTTTATTTTTGAAAATGCATTTTCATTGGATTTAGCATTGGAGAATAAGGCGGTAAGAATTTAAGGTTGAATCTTTTGGATTCGATCAAATTTTTCATGTCATGTAGCTTGTGTATTTGAGCGTTATTTTCCAACTCTGGATTGATTTTCTCAAAGAAAATTTCTATAAATAATTTAAATCTATCTGCATTGACACTGGAATTAGAAACGATTGTGTGATGTACAACTCCCGCGTTGTTTATTGCTGCAATTATAGTGACATTACGACCTCTGACCGTAGGCAACACAATGTGTGCTCTTGTTCCTTGTCTTGAACGGGCTTGGGTTCTTCGTATGTGAAGATTAAATCCACACTCATCAATGAATATAAATTTTTCTCCTTGTTGGGGTATCCATTTTGTAAAGTCTTGAGCATATTTTTGTCTCAAGCCTAATGTTCTGGAGTCATTCATTCGTTCTATTTCAATAGAGGCCATCTTAAACGTAATTTTTAATTTCCGTAATCCATATTCTATGCAGCTTGTGGAAATATTTATTTCATTTTCTCTCAAAAGTTTAGTTTTTATGGCTTTGAGGGTAATTCCAGGTTGACTTTATATATAGAACTCGATCAGACTTAAAACTTGTGGTGTCAACCACTTAGTTCTATTTCCTCCACGCTTATTTTCCTTCAATGTTCCAAACTTTTGTTTGTATCTTCTTATAAATGTTTTTTCGGAATTTATGTTTTTGCAGGTTAAATTTGCAGCCTCGGAAATGGTTCTCCCCTCTTCATAGAATTTAAATAATAACAATTTCATGTCTTTTGTTATTTTGTTATACTGACCCAATTTGTTCCGGTTCTTGTAGATGTAGCTTCTGTAGGTTCTGGAGCATTTCCACTTGTAATACTTGGCGAGGATATTGATTCTTCCTCAGGTTCCCAAGCTAAAATCAGGTTCGCATTTATTTTAAACGTTGCTATTTTTAAATACAGTGAACTCTCGATAATGTGAACATCCAAAACAGTAAACTCTCGACAATGTGAAGTAATTACAAACAAAATTTTGGAACATTGAAGGAAAATAAGCGTGGAGGAAATAGAACTAAGTGGTTGACACCACAAGTTTTAAGTCTGATCGAGTTCTATATAGAAAGTCAACCTGGAATTACCCTCAAAGCCATAAAAACTAAACTTTTGAGAGAAAATGAAATAAATATTTCCACAAGCTGCATAGAATATGGATTACGGAAATTAAAAATTACGTTTAAGATGGCCTCTATTGAAATAGAACGAATGAATGACTCCAGAACATTAGGCTTGAGACAAAAATATGCTCAAGACTTTACAAAATGGATACCCCAACAAGGAGAAAAATTTATATTCATTGATGAGTGTGGATTTAATCTTCACATACGAAGAACCCAAGCCCGTTCAAGACAAGGAACAAGAGCACACATTGTGTTGCCTACGGTCAGAGGTCGTAATGTCACTATAATTGCAGCAATAAACAACGCGGGAGTTGTACATCACACAATCGTTTCTAATTCCAGTGTCAATGCAGATAGATTTAAATTATTTATAGAAATTTTCTTTGAGAAAATCAATCCAGAGTTGGAAAATAACGCTCAAATACACAAGCGACATGACATAAAAAATTTGATCGAATCCAAAAGATGCAACCTTAAATTCTTACCGCCTTATTCTCCAACGCTAAATCCAATCGAAAATGCATTTTCAAAAATAAAATTATGTGCAAGAGCTGAGCTGTGTGACGTTTCAATGGAACATAACATTGTTGATGTAATCGAGCGAAGTATTCCAAAGCTTACTCGGCAAGATTGTTCTAACTACGTTATGGACATGGTTTTGAAAATCCCACAAGCTGCAAGTCGGGAACCCCTTCATTAAGATATCAATCAACAATTTATTAAGTCAAAAATGTATTTCGCATTTAGGACCGGGTATTCAATTCTTGTTCTTAAATATTTATTTATTAAAATGTCAAGAAATACCCCAGTTTGTATTACTATTTATTTAGTTTTATGTAGTAAAGATATTAAATGAAATCACACCGAATTAAAGAATATTTATGTTAATTACATAGCCATACAACTATATTTGTTAATATTCTTTGATTTAATTTTCAAATATTGGTTTAAAATTAGTGCAAATATATATATATATTTCCTTAGATAAGAATAAAGGTTTCATTTAATTTGGAAAAAGTTTCATTCTATTTGTAAAAGGTTTCATTTCAATTGGAAAAGGTTTCATTCTATTTGTAAAAGGTTTCATTTCAAGTGGAAAAGGTTTCATTTAATTTGGAAAAGGTTTCATTTAATTTGGAAAAGGTTTCATTTAATTTGAAAAAGGGTTCATTCAATTTGGAAAAGGGT